TCATTAATGGCCCACATTTTACATAATTACAATAGGCCCTCAGAGTCATATTTTATATTTCTAGTTTAGATACAAGAGTGGTACATTTATACAAATCGGATGATCACACTCAGTAGATTATAAGCTTTGTAATGATACCTTACAAGAGACCTTTTGCATGAGGCACATCCCAGTTATGTTATATTCACTTTTTACCATATTTTTTCTAAAACTCTCCCAGTTACATTATATTCACTTATTATCATGTTTTTATAAAACCATATAGACGGCACAACGTCACACATCAATTGCAGAAATGTGAATAAAACTTCAGGGGCTTCCCAACTGTCAGTCTGGTGCACTATCCACTATCCACTGTGACTTCCCGGTTCCTTACATTTAACGGAATTGTTTCATATAAAGTGTTTGGTTAACTTAAAATTTTTGGCCTTCTTTGCACTTAGATTTATTTTGGAAACAGAAGTATTATAATACCACACGAGACCGTTCTGCTATCTTTCTGCACACATGAAACAAGAAAGTCCCAGAAATAATGACAAGAGCTAGATTTCACAGCATGATTCCCAGATCAAAAAGTTTTGGGTAAACTATAGGTATTTTTAAAAATATAAGCTCTGTTGCAAGATGTCATGAAAAAGCAGTAGGGGCATGCATTAATAATTTCTATTTAAAGATCTCAGAAGCCATGTATAAGATCTCATTGTCTCTAATAACCAAAATGGGGAGGGGAAATAGATTTGTCACATCTTTGCATTCAGCATAAGAGTTAGTCACTGATTTTACAACACTGTGGTAACAAAAAGCTATGTTTTGTTTTGACATGGGCATCATCAGTAAGGCTGGCTTCTGATACAGTCCATGGGGGTCAGGTTGTGAGCAGGGGTGGATCTGGAGTTCAAGAAGAAAAAAACAGCTAATCACATTGATTATCTAATATGCCACTTGTTTGTAAATAAATCATGTTAATTTACACAGTGCTATATATTCACCTGGTAAATTAACCTATGTTTAAAGACTATACATTTCGTCCATTCAAACTTGATGTTTACAATACACAGCTGAATAAAGAATTTGTATGTTACTGCCTCACAGTTGTACTCTGATTGCAGGACGCAATGATAGACTCTTGATACATAGTGTTAGATTCCGTACTATTGACTAGCTTCTTACGTCTGTTATCTATAGTTGTTTAGTTACTAATGACAAAAGGGTGAATATGTATCTTCTGTTGCTGGAAAGGAGAAAGAGGTGTTAATGCTTGTTGTTGTAGCCATTCCCCCAAGGAATGGCTCAGATTTCCTCCCACTGGCTTGCTACTTAGAGTGTCTTGTACCCAATCCTCACTTGCATCCTGGGTTCATTTCTGATGCCTAGTGTCTCCACCCAAGGTGACTCCTCGCTGTGTAGAAGCCACAAGTAATGCTGCCCTTGGGAAAATGAATAATGTTACATTAGGGCAAGGAGTATCAACAACCAGTACACAAGAAAATGAATTATATTAACACAACTCCAGCAAAGCAATTACTTACCCCAAAATATAACAAATGGGGGATATTGCTGGGTAGGATGAAAATAGGATGTGGGAAAGGAAAGAGTTATGGTTAACTAACAAGTACCCAACTTTAACAAAAACAGATTCCCTACCTCCCAACACTCACAACTCTTCCCAACCTCCAACTCCCTCCCTGGCACCTTCCTAAGATCAGGGCTGTGAATGTTGGCCAACAAAAACAAAAAGGGTCTCCTTACAATGTCTTCACCCATGAGTGTGGCAGCCTCCTCTCCTGGCTCCCTCGTCTGTAGTCCTGTAACGGTCTCAACTGGAGAGAAGGAGATAATCAGAGACACCCTGAGCTGTTCTGCATCTCCCTCACCTCCCAAGCTCAAAAAAATCCTGAAACTAAAACTAGACACTTTGTCTCTGTTAGGCTGGCCCCTCCCTGAACAGCCCTGGTGCATCACTGACCCAGCAAACTGCTTGTCCAAATCACATCATGCAGATGCCTTTCCTTCTTATTGCCCTCAGCAGCAGTTTTAGTCCATTTTGTCCCTACTCTGGACTCCAAACATGCTGAGAAATGGTGTCAGAGGGCTCTGGTGGCCATTACTGTTGTAGTCCATAGGGTAGGCCTCCCTAGAGCCTCTGCTGTCAAACTCTAAGTGGGGGTATACTGGATACTTCAAAGTATACACAAACATTGAAAACCTACAGAGGGTCCTGTGGCACCTTTGAGACTAACAGAAGTATTGGGAGCAAAAGCTTTCGTGGGTAAGAACCTCACTTCTTCAGATGCAAGCACAGGACCCTCTGTTGCTTTTTACAGATTCAGACTAACACGGCTACCCCTCTGATAATTGAAAGCCTAGGATTTGATGCACTGTGATAATAATATCACTCAAAATAATAATAAAAAGAGATACATGGCTAAACGTTTCAGAAGATTTTATAGTTTAAAGAAAAAAAAATCATATTAGGATTAAAGTCCTGAGTGAGAGCAAATATAGGTTGGGGGCTGATATTTGTGGGTCATCAGATTCATTTGTTTCATAGTGGGCACCATCTTTCCCCCTAGCTCCTTCAGTCATAAAATGTTCAAAGATTTCACTATACAACAATTATTGTTGTATAGTGATAGCAGTCATTGCATTTCTCCACTCTTGGATTACAAACTTCAGAGGTTGATGGAATAGATGTGCTGAAGCTGCATCTTGTGATCAGTAGAGGTCTGTAGGAATCACTTTGGCCGCAATCTGTTAGCACGCTAATTGGCTATGAAAAGGTTCACACTGCCTGTAGGCTACTGATTGTGAACTTTATTAATAGATCAAAAATATACAGCATTTCACTCTACTGCCTTTCATACAAACTGTGATCACAGAATTGCCAGAATAGGGGTAAAAATCTGGAAGGCTGTATCTATTCTTTTCACTGCCTTGTTACATTTTGAACAAGGGAGACCTGGCTTCAAGTGGATACGTATTATTGTGCTTTAAAAAAAATCCTCACTCCTCCTCCCACTGTTTTAAAAACCTAATTATTAAGATATCTCCAGCAGTAATTAAAGGTGTACTATACAACACCTGGCTCTCCTTTCACCTACATCATTTGCACCATTAATTTCTCTTGTGCAATACAGAGCACCTCCAATAGAGAAAAAATACATCTATGTTGTGCAACGCAATATTCAATTTTTTTTTTAAATCACAACATACTGATTGAGCACCAAGTGTAATGTTTGAACACCAGTTTAAAGACAATAATCCAACTCTCTCTGTGATATATCCCTTATAAGTTGTTTTTCCATGTAAATGCTATATCAAACTGACTGGATTTTACATTTTACTCCATTTTTTGTCATGTGCAGATAAATATTGAACAAATAGGAAGACAAGTATATAGATACAGATAGTGAAAACAAAAACTTTATCCAGACAATTCACAGTACTAGGCTGCCATCTACTGGATTTAATATTTCTTGTACTTCTGGTCCCTTTGCTAAAGTTCTTGGCTCACAAGAAAGAATATTAGTTAAAGATTAATGATGTTTACTTGTTTGTTTGACCTGTGTTTTCTTTTTCATTTGTATGTGTTGGTTTTAAAGTTAGTATTGTCTGTGCAAATTGCTTCATTTTCAGTTTCTCTTATGAGGAGCTTTTAGATAGTTTGACTTAAAAATTCAGAACGTATTCTGGAACTCAGAATTTCAGATTTATAATCAGTCTGAACAAGCAATCTGCTCTATTAAAACAAACACTAACATTGTCTTGTTTTAAGAACACTTAATTTCAAGAAGACTTGTCACAGTGTGAAATTTAACCGTGACTGTCACTGCTCATTAGTGTTTACAACTTTAGATTGAGCACCCAATATTATATTGTTTGTGTTGTACTAAAGAATGCTGGTGTAAGGGTGTATGAGTACTACTCCTCTGGAATGGTCACAAAGATGCAATAGTGTAGTTGAGGGTAAGATCAGGTGAATTAAATTTAATCAGTTCTCATTTGGGGATTATGGAGTTTAGGTTCAGCTTGTTTACTCACTTTGTTTTTTACCACAATAAAAATGGGATGTATATTTTACAGGAATATTTTGCTCACTGGAATATTTAGCCATCAGTGCATATATACAATTCCCATTAGCCCCAATATGGATCTCTGTTATGACTATAATCAGTGCTCAAACTAGAAAGATAGTGTAGTCCTCTCAGTTCCTCATTCAGTCCAATTATCCTTTCCTCTGCCACACACTGTGATTGGTTCTTCCTCCTTAGAGCCCCATTTTCTGACAGGATATTTTAGCCTGTTTCCAGTCCCCAGCTGCAGCCAGTAAGTATGTTTCTCCTACCGGGCTTGCAGGCCCCTCTCCAGTGGAAGCTGGTGATATCTAAGCTTGGATGGATGTGCTCCATCTGGCAGGGGTGAGGGAAGCCTGGAACAAATAATTGTCCAGAGGCCCCTTTCAATTTTTAATGAAAATTAATGCAAATTGTTTTTTGTTTATTAGTGTTTAAATCTAAGGACTTGTCTACAAATACAGCCAAATCAGGAAATCCAGTTATAGCACAATTATCCACTAGCCCTTTTACAACATAGTTGAAGCTTACAGCATGGATGACCCTTGCCATGTGTGGTAGCAAAACTAAAGCTTTGGCTATGGGATTGTGCAATATCCAGTCCTTCCTCACTTTGTAAAAAACAATAAAATAGAAACTCACACCTACTGTATTTCATCTGGGACTTTTCTGTACGTATTTATTTTACAGATTTTTTTCTGTCACTAATGCTTCCTTTTGTTCTCATTTAAATTGTTACCAATAATAAAAATAAAATATTGCCCTTTATTCCCCAATGACTTATTCTTGCTTGCAATACTTCAGCCATCCTCTTGCTCTTCCCTCCTAAAGTCCCTCCTCTTCTTTCCTTTTCACCCTCCAAACAAAATATCCTTTCTTCCCATCTCCCCAATCTCCCTTCACAATTTGTCTCACAGTGCTTTTATTTCTCTGATGCCACCCGGGACACCAGACTCTTTTCCACCTAGCTAGCCAACATCTTGATCTCAGAGTCTCCCTTCCTGCTTTCAAGTTCAACCTCCCTCATTCAAGAGGTCTCCTAAAGTCTCTCTCCATCCTTCACCTCATGGTCCCCTCTCACAGCTCAGGATCAGAACAAGAAGTTTTCTGAAAACTCACTTTTTTATTTTGGCAGAATTAAAATTCCATTTCTCATCCAGCTCTGGTTTACACTAACTCAAGTTCACCATATTTACTTGTAGAACTCTTATGCATTTGTTCCCCATGTACAGCACAAAATCTCTAAGGGCTCTGCTGTTTGAAGAGATAGAGAGTAGAGCTGGGCAGAAAAATTTTGACTGAACAGTTTTCCATCAGAAAATGCAGTTTAGTCAAAACCAAAACATTTTGTGAAATGTTTCAATGAAAAATGTATTTTTGAAAAAAAAAATGCTCCCTTAAAAAAAAAGAAAGAAAAAAATTGTTTAGAAAAAAATAATTCATTTTGAAATGAAATTTTAGTTTTTAAATTTAATTTTACTTAATGATGCTTGTCAGGCATGTTATTTTGTGACATCAAAGTTGAAATATTTCATTTACATTTTTATTTTTATTTAAAATTTTATTTTATTTTAGAAATTCAGAGTAGTAGCTTTTTAAAAGAATATAGCTATGTTAGCCTGAAATATTTTTTTAGGATATTAAAACAGATGCTATTCTAATTAGTACTGAGTGCTTATCTTTTTTTTACTTGTTCAAACTACTTAAGCTGTTTTTAATAGAATCATAGAATATCAGGGTTGGAAGGGACATCAGGAGGACTTCTAGTCCAACCCCCCTGCTCAAAAGCAGGACTGATCCTCAGACAGATTTTTGCCCCAGATCCCTAAATGGTCCCCTCAACAATTGAGCTCACAACCCTGGGTTTAAGAAGCTAATGCTCAAACCACTGAGCTATCCCTCCCCCAGTTTCTAATATTCCCATTAGTAGTAGATCTTTTATAGCATCAGAAGGGGTGCTATGCATGTCACAGATATATCAGCGACAGTAACAGAGTTTTCAGTTTGTAGGCTCTTTTGAAAAAAAAAATATTCAGAATTTTTCAGCATTTTCTGCAAACTGAGAAGTCAAATAAAAAATCCATTCATGTTTTAGTCAACTGGAAACAAAATGTTTTGTTTCAATTTTGGGCATTTTTAACATTTAAAAATAAAATTAAGGGAAATTGCAAAATGCACCGTCATTTTGACTGGAAAAATCAAAACATTATATTGTATAAAATTTTAAACAAAATGTTTATAATTTTTTCAGACTTTTGGGTTTTGGTTTTTTTTACTGAAACAACTCACTGTACTCTATACAAATTTGTGAAATGTTTCTGTAGAACTGGATCTGCAGTTTTCACTGAAAAAGAGTTTTGGAAGATAAATTTCACTCAGCTTTAGCCACTGCAGATATAGGGAGACATAGTCCTCGTCCCCCTAGAATTTACAAGCTAGTTTTAGACATGATGCACCATGTAAGGATTAACAAACAGCATATGAGGGGGTTATGAAAGAGAAGAGGGTGTAGGAAGACATGAGTTAAAGCAACAAAAATCATACAGTTGCTACCCATTTACATACCTACAGAGGTTTAATTTAAAAGGTTTTATCCTGATTTCATTTTCAAGCATTTTTATATCATGAATATTGAAAAAGTAATTATGTAATTATTGTGAGCTCTAGGGAGGAAATTCCTTTATATCTATTACAAGATTATTGTTAACCAATGAAATGCAGCTTTTGAAAACTTACTTGTTTTAGATCAGTGAAGTCAATTTTCACCATTTAACAATAAGAGATTTTTGAAAATACTTAGTATTTCAGCATTCTCTGCAATGTTGTCTAGCCCAAGCATTCAAAATCATGAGTCAAACTCCAAAAATCAAAAGATTTTTCAACTATTATACACTTTGGGTCCTTTTACTTGCCTTCTGTCTTTGAGCCATTAGATTTCAATTTTTTCAGCTTTTCTCTAGAGCCTTGAGGGCTAGAAAGTTATATTTAGAAAAACATCAGTTTTTAAAATTGAAAACAGAGTTGCATGAGTCCAGAAGCTGTGGATTAGGGAAAAAACCCACTAAATATTGAGTGACTCATGATAAAATTGTGAGAGTTGGCAACATCGTTGCTCCCGCTGAAGTCAGTGGAAACTTTGCCATTGATTTCAGTGAAAGCAATTAGAGCAGTGCTGAGTGATTTTAAAAATCCCATGCTAAACATATGTATTTTAATTGGCAAACTATATTTTATAGGTGCTAGATTAAAAAAAACAGCATGACATTTAAAATTTATTTCAAGTTGTAGAATGCTGCCCAAAATCCCACCTCTAAGCATTTTTGTGACACAAACAAGAGAAAAATTAAATTTGATTAAACAATATTGCATATTTAAAAGACAAGCCACAAAATTATAGTGGACAAGTAAGGCCCATCAGCTACAACTAACCTACAGTCCAGATGTCAGGTTAAAGGCTTTTTAAAGAATTTTACTTTTACAGTTTGACCTGATTTAACTGCATGTCAAACTAAATTAGGCCAAAGGAATAGAATATTTCTACATATTATTGAATAGCCTCTGAATTCCTATAGGTTTAACTCCAAATTTTAAATCTGAGTTGCTTAACTGATTACATTCTGGAAACTATTTCATGGTTTATTACCTGATAATGAGTAAAGTTTAACTTAAGAAGCAATATGACTCTCTTCATGTCCATGGAACAAACTATATTTTTTAAGGATTGAAAAAGCTTGATTAAAGGATACAGTGCCCTTCAAAATTTCCTCTTTATACTTTTATTCATATCAGTATACGCACCCAATATTTTTAACACGTTGCTTAGCCAATAATAAATAATAATATATTGTCTTTTCATATAAGCAGGTTGTCACAACCCAGTTTGGATGAGTCTAAATGAGTAGAGATGGAATGAGGAAGCGATGCTAAAATCCAGCTCAGATTTTAAACTAGGGTTCGAGGACTCATTTAGGGCTAAGATTTGGATTTAAGGGTGTTGGAATACTGAGCAATTGCATTTTGCCCGCATGTGAACTAGAAAAACACTTACTGTTTTGGGATCTGCCAAAATAGAGACAAGTTCTGATCTGGGAATATGAATCTGGACCCTGCCAGGCCATTTCATTACAAGGTTCTGGTCCATATCTAAAAAGACAGCAAGGAAACATGTGGCATTGTCTTGTTAAGCTACACAAATGGTAATACTCTAAAATAATAAAGGAGTCATTATTGGGTGCAAATGTAAATAGATCTACATAACAGATTCTCTCCTTTTAGCAAATTGTCAGATGAGCAATTCAATCAAGACAGAAACAGCTGGGGACAGCTTCACAATTGAAAATGCAATGACACTAACAGGCAAGATACAGATGGGAGAATTTCTAAATATTTTATGAAGCATCTTGACTTTTTGAAGATATCTAATTTTTTAAAAATTAAACTGTTAGAAGTTGCTTTGTATATGGGGCAACTTTTTACAAACCCATAGATGTTGAGCTATTTAGATAATCTCATTATCTGAACCTTCTAGTTCTGTTTTATGATAGGTTGAATAAAATGGCTTGGTCGTTATCTATGAGTTGATTGGTTCAAATTATAAAAAATGTTAATTGCCAATTCAGTGCCTGAGGCACACATACAAACGAGGGTTACCTAACTAGGTACAATTATGTGCAAATTCCCAGCTTGTACATGCTCCGACAACAAGTTGAGCATATACAGAACTGCAGTGCACTTGAACAGTCACACGTCTAAAAAAAATTGAGCTATAATTACCAATAAGAAAGGATGGATTTTATAGAAGTTGCCACGATAATACAGATCTTTTCTTCCATCGTTCTCTATTCCCACTCCCAAAAGCTCTTCCGTGCCCTCATGATCTCTCATTTAGACTAAAGTAACAGTCTTTTCCCTCATTTGTCACATAGAATGATGTAGGCCCACGTTGACATAATCACAAGATGGTCTGGCATGCTACCATTACTTAAATAGAACTAATTTTATTTTTATAACTGAGAGATAATTGACCCTTGAAAAGCACTCAAATTGCCACAAGCAGCCTCTTTCTGTGTGTGCACACATGTGAGCGCTCTACTCTTTTACCAAGACTTTCAAGCATCCCTGATTCAGGGGAAAATGACAATCCACCAGATAATGTGTTGCAATAAGAAATAAATATTCAGTTATTTATAAGGTGCTATGCTTCACTAAATTAAAGTTTCTATAAGAAACATTTGAGAAATTGGAGAGGGTGCAGAGAAGAGCCACAAAAAATAATCCAAGGGGAAGAAGAAATGCTTTAGAGTGAGAGTTCAAGAGCCTGTCTGGTCTAAGATTGTAAAAAAAAATCAAGAGGCAATTTTGATAATATGTATAAGTCCTTTCATGGAGAGAAAATACCATGTCCCAAACCATGCCCCAACGGGATACTAATGGAGAAAGACATGACAAGAATCAATAGGTGAAAGTTAAAGCCAAACAAGTTGAAGCAGAAATAAGGCACACATTATTAATAAAGAGGTATGGAACAGTAACTATTAGAATGAACTACTATGAGGAATGATGGATCTGAAGACTCAGAAAGACAGAAAATCAAGAGCAGATGTCTTTCTGGAACATATTGTAGGCCTGAGAACTGATCACACACACACACACACCCTGCTCCCGGACCTATATTAAAACAGCCTTCTGTGAAACTGAGGAAGTTCACAACTAAAATTGAAAAAACAATATTCTGCTGCTGATAAAGCACCCCCACCTCAGGAATGTCCCCAACGAGAATTATAACCACCAAGGTTGTAAAGTAGAGACACCCAGGCACTGGGAACTTAGGGAGAATACAGAAAGAGACTCAATAAATGGTAAAATAAGCTCTGACCAGCATTTTTATGCTGATCATCTTCATAAACAGAGAAGGTCACAACTAAGTTACAATTTGATCATGAAAGCTAAAATGTAAAAATCTTGGGCAAGAGGGAGGCAGTGGGGGAAAATATTGGTTGAAGAGCCCAGAAAGAGAGATGGTGGGGCATGGAAGGGGAAACAGAGAGGAAAGGGATGGCTGGAGAGACAAACTGGACATGGGAATGGCTGAGCCATTACAAACATTGAATCTATCTCCCCTTGTAAGTATTCTCACATTTCTTATCAAACTGTCTGTACTGGGCTATCTTGATTATCACTTCAAAAGTTTTTTTTCTCTTACTTAATTGGCCTCTCAGAATTGGTAAGACAACTCCCACCTGTTTATGCTCTCTGTATGTGTGTATATATATCTCCTCAATATTTATTCCACTCTATATGCATCCGAAGAAGTGGGCTGTAGTCCACGAAAGCTTATGCTCTAATAAATGTGTTAGTCTCTAAGGTGCCACAAGTACTCCTGTTCTCTTTAGACTGGACAAGGAGCTGAGTTAGTGAAACTGGGACTGACTGGGCAAAGAGATTGTGACTGGAATGAGAAGTCTGAAAGAAGAGGAGATGGGGGTTGGGATGAAGAGCTAGGGGTTGAAAGGGATGTGTCCGAAGGGGTCAAACTTGGTGAGGAGCCAGAAGGGTCTGTGCCCACAAGGGATACACTCCCCTTTACCCTCTGGAATAGAACCCAACATTCCTGGATTCCAACATTTAATTCCATGATCACATTTTTTCTGGAGTACCCCTGCCTCATTCATTGCATAGGTTGAATCTTCTCTGAGGATGAATTAGGATTGTGAAGTGAAGGAGGCTGTTGTCTGTAGGACTTCTGCTTCATTTCTTGCAGAAGTTTGGAAGTGTATAGTGAATAAAGCCAGGGAATGAAGCAGACAAAGTATGGTTGCATGGTAGAGGCAGTTGAATGCCACCCTGGAGAACTGGATTCTGTCCCATTCTCTAAGACAAAGTTATTGTGTGATGCTGGGCAAGGCATTTAAACTAAGCTTTTCTCAGGTGGTCACTAATTGTGTCTTCCTCATTTTCTGGGTTCCCAATGGGACACCCTGAAGTCAACGGGAGATGTGCTTTGAAAATATAAAAGGCAGTATAATTCTAAATACTCTGAATAATATTGTCCTAGGCTTCTCGAATAGGGCATCCAAAATTAGTGGATATTTTTTATTTTAATCTCTCTGTGCCTCAATTCCCCGTTTGTAAAATGAGGATAATACCAACCCCTCACATCACAGAGGCGTTGTGAAGAATAATGAATTAATGTTTATGAAACACTCAGATACTAAGCACCATAGAAATGCCCACAAGGAAACGGATAATTCTGTGTTCAGAGCAGTGTTTAAATAGTGTGCAGTAAATAAGGCCTTCAGCCACATATTGAGGATAAAAAAAAATTGAATATTTGCTCACTGAGCATCATCCATTCCGTGCACTCAGAAGAAGGGGTCTTGTGGAAAAATATAGCATGTGATCGGGTAATTAAAGACTGTATAATAAGGTAGATGGATAAGGGCATGAATTAAGTTTGCGTGAGCATCTTTAATTTTTTCCCTAACTTCTGGGTTCTTGACATTGCAAGCTTAATGTTTTTTTTTAAATGTAGCCCTTTTCTAATGTAAATTTCATTTTTTTTTAAATGGGGGAAAAAATTATGATGTGGCATCATATTAAGCAGGAGTTTGGGTCATCTGTGGTATCTGGACCTGTAGATCCATGCAACAGATCTCTACCACTTGAGCTAAGAGAAACTGGTAGCAGTAGTATGTTGTTTTCCTCTATGGATCAGCAACTAGAGGAGGATTAGACACACTTTATTGAAGAATGCATAGACACTGCTAGCAGCCAGCAGGAGCAAATGCAGGAAAAGACTTTCACAGCCCCCGCTACTCCAGGTTGGAGCATGCTCATTGCAGACAGAATTTTTGGAAAATTAAGGTGCCTAACTTTAAAGTCTCTACTGAACTTGAGTGATCTAAGATTTTGCAAAGGCTTATAACTTGGCCAAGTTTGGGCAAAATTTCCACAGGGATAGCAAAAAGCACATCCCTGATATTAGCATGAGTCTCCTCCTTGCCAATTTTCAAGCCCTTGCTCTAAAACATTGAGCTCCTACAGCTTCTCAATAAAATTTTGTAAGTTTATTGTAAGCCATTTCCTGAGGTTGGAAATGGCTGAACCATTTTAGCTAAAACTTTTGAAAAAATTCAGATTGAGGCAAACACCAGACAGAACATTTCAGCCTGGTTGGTATTATTTTGGCAGAATTATAAACTAAAAAAGTGGTCTTATGGGAAGTGTTAGGCTACCAAATCATAGGGGATGCTATCAGCTCCACCTATAATATATATTATATGCCATTTTCTTTCCTGTTCTTCATTTGGCACAAGAGAATCAATTGATTGTCAAGCAGTCTGTGGGCCAATTGCACTGGCCCTAGAGTATATTAGAGCAACACAGAAACAACTTTAAATTATGTCAGTTGGCCAGAGTAACACAAAGGAACAAGTCTGGCCCATCTATTCAGGCCTGGAACCATTCAAATAGAATAAGCTGTGAAGTGTGTGACTTTGAGGCAGTCCATCAGACAGGTTGCTGAGAAGCTAAGAGCTGGGAAGAAACCTGGGACGGCTCCGTTGGACTTTCATCAAAATAGAACCCTTTCTACAAAATGTTCCAGTTGAAAAATTCCAACAACAAAAAAATGTTTCATCAGAGTTTTTCCAACCAGTTTTATGGATTACAATTACAAACCAACAATAGAAACTGATAACATGTTAAAACAATGGGGGGGATGTTGAGTTCCCTTAGGCTCATGTAATCCCTATGTTTCTTCCTGAATCAAAATTTTATCACAGGTATTAGCCATAGAAACACTGCATAGAAACTCTACCTTAGAATCAGTGTAACAATTTCTATTATTCTAGGTTTAAAAAAAATCACCTTTCCACTTCAAATTTCAGCTCTGGATGATTTTGTCAAATCTGCTTTTTTAATGCTTATCCAAGGAAACTACAGCCTTGGAATGAATCATGGTGATCTGTGATGTCATTTCCCCAAGGTTCTCTCCCACACAGATCATGCAAAACCAGAAGAGAAGACTATTGCTGAGCATAGGCAATATCCACATGAGAGCAAAAATATCTAGTAAATGAATATTTGTTTATATTCTAAACTTTGGATAACCACAGTCTGTGGGGACCTTTCCTTTCAGTAGGA